GGGGGAGAACAGCGAGACCCCCCCCCCCCCCCCCGTGCACCTTTGCCAGGATCTGGGTCCGCATCCTGCTCATCAGGCGTGACGCTGTGCCCTCTTGTTCCGAAAGGTCTGTGCGGAAGAATTCAAGGAGTTTGTGGAGCGGCTGAAGGTGAAGTTCAGCTCCACCCTGGGGAATCCGCGGCCGGCCATTCCGGACACACTGGAGGAGCTCTTCCGCAGGTATCCCCCAACCGTGGGTGGGGCCGCAGGCAGTGCTCGGCATTCTCTGTGGCGTCCCCTGAGAAGAGCTCTTGCGCCAGGCCCTCCCGCCAAGGCCTGCTCTGCAGGGTCCAGAAAGTCCCGGTTCGAGGAGCTGTGGAGGAGGACAGGGGGAAGCCTGCCCGGCAGGAGCAGCAAGCCAGGGAGGGGATCTCACTGCAGGGCACCTCCCGGCCCAAGAAGACCCCCTCCCCTCCACCCAGAGACCCTGCAGACCCCCCCAGGGGGGTCCCTTTGCTGCAGCAGGGCTCAGACCAAGACGGGGCCCCCCCTGCAAAGCCTTCTGCTCAGCCGTGGGGTGGGGGTGAGGTGGGGAGTCTCCTTGGGGGGCCACTCTCGGTTCAGGGCTGAAACGGCGCCTGATGTCAGGGTTCTCCTCCTGCCTTCCGGCCCCCTGACTCGCCTTCCTCCCTCCGCTGGCGGGAGCTTCCTGGGCGGGGGGGGGTGGGGGTCGGGTCTGTAAGCCACTCTGGTGTAGTGGTGAAGTGCAGGCGGACTCTAATCTGGGAGAGCCGGGTTTGATTCCCCACTCCTCCTCCACTTGCGCCTGGCTGGATGACCTTGGGCAAGATGTAGTTCTGATAAGAGCTGTCCTTGAAAAAGAGCAGTTCCTGTCCAGAGCTCTCTCAGCCCCACCTGCCTCACAGGGGGTGTCTGTTGTGGGGAGGGGAAGGGAGAGGAGACTGTAAGCCGCTCTGAGACTGAGTGAAGGGCAGGGTATACATCCAATCTTCTTCTTCTCCTCTTCCTCCTCCTCTTCTTCTTCCTGCCAACTCTCACCTTCCTCCCCCTGGTCCAGGTTCCGGGTTCTGGCAATCGGAGATGAGTCCAGCCATGGCAGGAGAGAGGACGTGCTCAGCAGGTGAGGCGGCCACAGGAAGGCCTTTGGGGAGAGGGGGAGGCTCCGTCTCAGGAGCACCTCCGCTCACGAGGCGCGAGGTCGCCGACGCGGTCCTGCTTCAGGGGAAGTACATCTAGATTGCTGGCTCACAGTCAGGGGTCCTTGCGTAGAAAAAGAGGCACAGGAGCTCATTCACATAACTCATTTGCATAGCTTATTTGCATATGCCACACGCCCCCTGACATAACCGGAAGTGTGTCAGAAGGCAACACCCATCGCTCAGACTCCACTGGACTGTTTTGGATTGCTAGCTATTGGGGGGGGGGAACATGCAGATCTGTCCTCTCAGAGGAGGGAGAGCTCGTACCTGACTAAAACTTGTTCTTAAAGGTGCCACTGGACTGTTTTGGATTTCTAGCTATGGAGGGGGTCCTGCAGGAAATGACCCCTGCTCGTAGTAAGTGTGGACAGTTTACAGAGTTCTATTACAGCGACTGCATCTTAGATACGTTGTGGGGCCTCCCTTGGGATGGAGAACAGACAGGCCAAAGGCCCTCTTAAGAAATAAGGCGGGCAACATCAGCCCTACACAGAGGCAGTGAAGAGAAGCCATGGGTCACAGAGAAGCATTCCCCCACACACACACGCCCAGGGGTCACACTGCAGTTCCCTAGCATGCGGGCTGTGGAATAAGGCTGTGAGCTAAAAATGAAACCGTGGAGGTGTGCGTATCAGCTGCAGAACGTGGACACGGCTGGTGCCCTCTCAGCAGCTGGGGGGGGGAAACCAGTTGGTGGTGGGGGGTCAGCATTGAGCAGAGCGCCTCCCCCCCCCCGCAGCCAACAAAGCAGAATAAATTAGGCCTTGAGCCAATACCTGTAAGCAGTGTTCCCTCTAAGCTGAGTCAGTGTGAGCTAGCTCACATTTTTCTAGCCCCCGGCTCACACATTTTTGTCCTAGCTCAGGAAAAATGTGGCTCCAGAGCAAACTAATTCATGCAGTAGCCAAATTGCTTGCTCACAGCTTTAATGCCAGTGGCTCACAAAGCAGAATTTTTGCTCACAGGACTCCACAGCTTAGAGGGAGCATTGGCTTTAAGTCTCTCTTCCCGTGCATTTTGTAGTTGGAATACCAGTTTCCGTGGCAGAGGTGGTATAGGCAGCTTAGACGGTGGGTTGTCCGGGGCAGAGGCTGCCTGTCACTCCTGAGTCCGGCGTAGATCCTCGAGCGAGTAACGCACACTGTTTTTGTTGAGCTGCCAGGAAAGAGCCATCTGCCCATGTGGGCTGCGGCTGGAGCCCCAGCTGGGGTGGGTGCCTGCGTCACGCCGGGTGAGGCGCCTGCCTGTGCTCTGTGCTCTGGGGCTTGCCTGCCTCCCATCATAACGGGCCTCTGTCTTCCCCCTGGGCAGTGTGGCCGACATTCACTTCCTGGTGCTGCAGAACCTGATCCAAAGCACCCTGGCCCTCTCCGACAGCCAGATGAAGTCCTGCCAGTCCTTCCAGGTAGGAGGAATTGGGGGGGGGGGATGCGGGCAGAGAGCTGCTGCTCATCCTCAATAGACAGGGAGCCAAATTCCCTAAATAGTAGGTCTTCAATGACAGACGAAGCAGTTGGAGTTTAGCCTGTGTGGCTATATGAGAGAGTTTAGCCTGTGTGGCTATGAGCAAGAGAGTTTAGCCTGTGTGGCTATATGATGAAAGACAGTTTAAACTGAGTGTCTGGGCCTGTCAGAGTGGAGTTTTGCTGTTTGACTGTATGTGACGCCAAGCTTTGTCAGTTATATTTTTTTTCTTCAACAATAGTTCAAAAAATACCCAGAAACCTATTTTGTTCTTTTATAAATAAATCATTATTTATTTAAACTTATCCCAGCAATCAGAACAGTCCTTCCTCAGGGCCACGTAGTCCTCTGAAGCACCCAGACCCTGGGTCTTTCAACCAAAAGAGAGAGAGTTGGGATTTTTAATTCCTGGTGGCAGCAGGAAATTGACTAAGTTCAAGTACACAGAGTGTGTTTTAAAGGAGAAACCGTCTCCCCAGTGAAGCAGGACCTCACAGCCGGAGGAGGCGAAAGGGGCTGTCCCGGCCAGGGGGCTGATGGCCGCGTGTGTTTGCAGACCTTCCGCCTCTACCGGGAGTACCGGGATGACATTCTCGTGAAGGCCTTTCTGGACTGCCAGCGGAGGAGCCTGGTGAACCGTCGCCGGGGCAACCACTCCCTGGGCCCCCGGAAGAGCCGGGCGCTGCCCTTCGTGCCCATGTCCTATCAGCTCTCCCAGGGCTACTACAGGTAAGAGCGCCCCTGTGTCCGGCCTGGCTCTGTGCCCCTGCGGGCAGCCGCTCGACTGTGGGATTCCAGCCACGGCCCCGCGGGGAGGGTTCTTCTCAGCAAGTCACTGCTGGTCCGCCCTGGTTAAATGACCGGAAGCAGAGAGCGGGGTAAGCAGACTGGTCTCCCGGGGTGGGTGGTGGATCTGGAATTGGGGGTGAGCAGCGTAGTGGCCAAGTCTGCAGAACCCTAAAGGTAAAGATCTGCCAGTGGGGTCTGAACCGGCAGAGACTGAGAGGAAAAGAGGCAGAGAACTGGCAGCGACCTGAGAGGAAAAGAGATCTTGGGGTTGTAGTGAATAGCTTGATGGAAACGCTGACTTAATTTGCAGCAGAAACCAAATCCCCAATAGGTCCCCATTTGTAATGGTCCTTTACAGTTCTGGTTTCTGCATCTCAAAAGAAGACATTGCCGAGCTGGGAAAAGTACAGCAGAGGGGACTGAAATGGTGACTGAGCGCCTCTCCTGTGAGCCCAGGGCGGAGAGAGTCGGGGGCTTTTCAGCTGGGGAAGACAGATGACTTGGGTGGGGGATGCAACGGAAGCTAATGAGATTATGCAGAGGACGGAGAAAGTGGACAAGAGTTTTTTCTCCCTCCCTCGTCAAACCAGAAGCAGGTTTAGAACAAACAAAAGGAAGTCCTCCCGTACTCGGCAAATAACTAAATTGTGGCAGTCACGGCGAGGGGATGTGGTGTTGGCCGTGGGCACCAAGGGCTTTAACCTGCCCTTTATTCCTGGAGGAGAGGTCCAATGAATGGCTACTAAATGGTCCAAACATGGAGACTAAAGGGAACCTCCGCCTCCAAAAGCAGTAAACCGTTGGATAACAGTGCAAGGAGGTGGCAGCAGCAGGGAAAGGTCTTGGCCTCGACGCCCTGAGGATCTGGCCTCGGTGTGAAACAGGATGCTCAGTCGCCTTGCCCCTCTGCCCCAAAGCCCAGTCCCGTGGCAGGCCAGAGGAGACGGGCAGGGACTGCCCCTTATGATGGGTGGTGGTGTGGCTCAGGCCTCCCGTTCTGTCTGCTGCCTCTCCAGGGTGTTCACGTGGCGCTTTCCCAGCACACTCTGCAGCGAGGCCTACCAGTTTCTCCTGAAGCTGAAGGAAGCCGGCGCACGGGACCAGGCGGCCAGCTTTTCTTTCAAGGACCAGGACAGCTCCTCCGCCTTGGACATGGTGACCTTCCCCCTGGATGGGCCCGGGGGCTGCTGCGCGGCTATCCTGGCCCTTTCTTCCCTCGGCCTGGTGTCCGTGGACGTGACGATCCCCGAGCAGATCGTGGTGGTGGACAGCACCCTGGTGGAAAACGAGGTCATCAAAAGGTAGGCCGCTGGCCAAGGGGTGTGGCTTGAGACTTTTTCTTTCTCTGGAGGGGGGGGGGGCCCCCCCCCCCCCCCCCCCGGCTTCCCAGACCCACAAAGCCAGCTTCCCGGGGCTTGTTCTGGTCTCCCAGTGAGTCAGCGCTTGAATCAACACAGCCACAGATGCGTGAGGATGGCCCTTCCCTTCCCTGTGGGCAGCTGAAATAACAACCCATTCTCCACAGAGGCGACCCCATGAGCAGCCTGACTTCCATCTAGAAAGGCAGACCGTGAAAGGCTCGAAGAGATGAAGGGCGGAGTGGGGTGGAGCCCCTGGGCGTGGGAGTGGATTGCTGGCCCGCTTCCAGGAGGGGTTCTGGAGTGGAGCGGTGGGGGGAGGCGCGGGCCTGGTGGGGGCCACTGAGCCAGGCTGTCTGCCTCAGCTTCTCCCCGGTGCTCCTTGCAGCTTGGGGAAGGAGGGCGTGGAGGAGGAGGAGGAGGAAGAGGAAGAGGAGGACGTGGAGGAGAGCGCCGCCAGCAAGCCCCGGATCGAGGTGAAGGCCCGCCAGGCCTCACACACCAACTACCTGCTCATGAGAGGCTACTACTCCCCGGGCATTGTCAGCACGCGGAACCTGAGCCCCACGGACAACATTGTCGTCAACTCCTGCCAAGTGAAGCTGAAGCTGCGGGAGACCCCTGCCTGGGACGGCTTCCTCGGCCAAGGTCAGTGCGAGGCCCCCGGGAGCGGGGGGCTGGAGTGTCCCGCTCGGCCCTCTCGGGGGAGCAGTTTGTCCGGGGGGCGGGGAGGGGTGCCTGTGGGCCAGCGAAGGGCAGGCCGTGGTTTGGGGGGGACCCTGAGAGCAGGGCAGGCCGTGCCTCCACTGGCTGAAGTGCCGAGCGGGTTGTGTCTTCCCAGAGCCCCTGGACCTGTCGAGTCTGCCTGTCGGAGCCTCCTGCCTCCCCAGATCCTTCACCAGGCTTATCGGCATCCAGGAAGAGGATGCGGCCGGACAACTTCCGCTTCGATCCCTGGCGCATGGCGGTTACACCGCTGGGGAGCTCGCAGCCACCCTGGAGCTGTACGACACCATCCAGGCCGCTTCTCACTTTGGGGTGAACAAGGGGGACCTGGCCAGGCAGTTCCAGCACTACGAAGAGGCTGGGGTCGAGTGCGCCAAGCTCCTGCAGGTGGGTGGGGACTCGGCCCGGCCTGGCGGGCTGCGTCACAGGCGCTGTTCCCTCTGTAAAGGAGGAGTAGCAGCTCCCTGCCAATGCTGCCCAGGCCGTCCACAACCGACAGTCGGTGTCCTTTCCCAGTTTGGTGTCATGGTTAAGTACGCGGACTCTGATCTGGGAGAACCGGGTTTGATTCCCCACTCCTCCACTTGCACCTGCTGGGTAACCTTGGGTCAGTCACAAGTTCTCTCAGAGCTGTTCTTGAGAAAGAGCAGTTTCTGTCAGGAGCTGTCTCAGCCCCGCCTACCTCCCAGGGTGTCTGTCTGTTGTGGGGAGGGGGAAGGGAAAGGAGTTTGTGAGCCGCTCTGAGACACCTTTGGGTAGTGAAGGGCCATGGGGTATAGATCCAATCTCTCCTTCTCCCTTTAGGACCTGCTGGACCTGGAGCAGGTGTTGGAGCTGGGGGGGAACAGCACGCGTCTGGTGGCGAGGAAGTGTGCTGGGCCCTGGCTGCTGCATTCCGTGCCTCTGGAGGAGGACGTGGGCAAGGCCCCCCCAGGCCGAGCGATCCCTGCAGTAGAGGAGAAGCAGCCCCTCGCTTCCCCCGGGCCGGCGGCACCAGAGCCAGCCAGGAAGAGGCAGAAGACGGAGCCGGACGAGCCGGGGGGCGGAAGCGAGGCCTCTCCAAGCACACCCGGCCCGGGGGGAGGAGCAGGTGACCCACAGCGAGAGGCGGCCGGCGGCAGCTCCAGTGCGGCAGGGCAGGACGGGGGGCCCCTGCAAGAGCCCGGCTGCCCCCCAGAACCCGCTGGGGTCCCAGAGGAAGAGGAGCGGAGGACCTGCCTCTCCGGGAAAGGCCGCCAGGAGGGCTCAGCCCGCGGGAGTCCTGCCACGGAGCCTCGAGGGGAAGGTTCGTCCCGGCCGGAAGGCCCCGTGAGGAGCGCCAGAGTCCCCACGGAGGGAGGGAGGGAGGGAGGGAGGGGGGGGGGGCGCTGGCTGGCTGCTGGGCTGTTCCCCAGAGGCCCCCGTTTACTGGCTCAGCTCATTTGCCCCTCGCCTTTCTCCCCAGCGGGGACTCAACAGCCTTCTCCTCTCCTGACAACATCCCTGTAAGGGGGCAGGGAAGGGCAAGAGTCTGGGAGCCCCTTCAAGACTCACAGAACCTGTGACAGGGGAGGAGCTTCCGTGGGACACCCCCGCTCCCTTCCGGCTGCGCGGCCACAAACCCTGCAAGTCCTGAAGGGGCTCCTGCTCCCTGCTGCTGCCACTGCAGGCAGGCCGGCCGAGGCGGTGTGACTGGCCCAGAGTCACCCAGCGACCATTGCACAAGGGGTTGGGGTGGTGGGGATCTGAACCTGGTCCAGCACTCTTCATCTCTACGCCACCCTTGCGGAGAGGTCCCCTAGCCCCCAAGCCCGCTCTCGTGCCAGCCTGCCTGGCATCACACACGGACCACCCCACCCCCACCCCTGGTTCCCTGGGACTGGCCCACGCAGCAGGGCACACCCTGCCCGCTTCCCCTTGCCTGCCGAGGGCCCTCTCCACACAACCCCCCTTGGGCTGTCCTCACAGCATTTTTAACCGCCATGGCCGTTCTGGTGGCCCTCGGAGGAGCAACGGGGCGGAAAGCGGGTGGCCCTCGGTGGCTGGGCTCTTGATGCTGAAGCGGTGCTCTCTCTCTCTCTCTGTCCCCAGCGTCTTCTGCAGGGAATGTCACACGGGCAGGAGAGGAAAGGTGAGTGGCAGAGCATTCCCTTGGCCTGGGCAGAACGTGGAAGAAGGGCTTGTGCATGCAGTGGTAGGACGGAGGGTTGTCTCCAGACTAAATTGCCGATCTCCCCCCCCCCCCCCCGCCTCCTTCTTTGGTTGCTCAGGTGGAGCCCCGGGCTTTGGCGGCCAGGGTGCTGAGGGACTTTGGGGGCTTCTCCGGGACTTCCTTCCCCACCAATTCCTGGTCCTCCTCCATACCGCTTTTCATACCTGCCTTCTGCCTGGATGCATCTCACATCCCATAAATCCCCTCCGGTGGAAACTGGAAGGCCAGCAAGGCTGAAACCAGGCAAGATTGGGGTCTTCGGGGCCCCAGAGGCAGCGCGTGGTTCACGCAGCCGCCCTTTTGCTCCCATCCCTCCCTGCGCCCAGCGCACCCGAGGCCCCAGGCCTGCTGCTATCTGCGCTCTGGCAGATGAGCACTTGCCTCCGTCTCCCCACAACCAGTGCTGGACTTTGGCGGCACCTTTTTGAGTGGGTGGGTGGTCTTTTGTGGTCTCTCCTCCTCTGTCCCTGAAGTACATAGGGAGGCCAGGCTACAGGGCTCACAATTTCCAGACATGCACAGCTTGAGGCACACTCCCCCCCCCCCATTGTCAGGGCCGAGTGTGTTCCATGTCGGTGCTGTACATGTGCAGAAATGGAGAAAGACCCCAAACTGAACTCTGCAGGGGTTGCACCCAAGGCTCCCTCTAAGCTGTGGAGTCTTGTGAGCAAAAATCCTACTCTCTGAGCTGCTGGCATTAAAGTTGTGAGCCAGCGGTTTGGCTATATTGCATGAATCAGTTTGCTCTGGAGCCCCCTCCTTCCTGAGCTAGGACAAAAATGTGTGAGCCGCAGGCTAAAAAACTGTGAGCGAGGTCACACTCACTCAGCTTAGAGGGAACACTGGTCGCAGCTGTCACTTCTTTGCATGGTTAAACAGGAAATGACCGTGGGCGTCGCTAGGTGAGAATGTGAACTCCTAGAAGCAAGTCACTTTAAGCGACGCACTGAATTTTTTTTTTCAATCCCCTGGCTTTACACAGAGAAGGGCCTGGGCCAGACCCGGCTGGAGCACAAGGCAAAGCAGCTGGCAAGTGGGTTAGGGTTAGGTGCCGCTCACAGGACGCTTGGCTCGAGTGCTCCTTCCGGGGGCCCAGCCACGCCCGCACCTCGCATGAGATGGAGGAACCCGGGATGACGATGCTGAGGCTGTTCTCTCTCATCCCCAGCGGCGCAAGTGGGAGTGCCTACTTTGTCGGGCGGCCTTGGCGCATCGTGGATGGCAGCCTGAATAAGCCCGTGTGCAAGGGCATCATGGAGGGGGTGCTGTGCCACATCATGACCAAGCCCGGCATCACAGAACCGGCCCTGCGCCGCCATTACCTGGGGGTCCTGCAGCCCGTGGCCCTCCTGGAGATCCTGCAGGTGTGTTTGGCCCCCTGGGAGAAACGGTGGGTTCGCCCACCCAAAGCTCCCTACGGGGGGGGGGGGGGGCGGGGGCCGGGGGGGCCCCCCGGG